TTTTGTTGCAGCGATATCTCCATTCGAAGACAGCTGCAGTATCGCTTCCTCAACCGTCGGCTGGTCACTGTATTGGACGAGAATATCAACCATCGCAACTTGATCTTTTCTAGCTGCCTGTACCAGTGCAGCCACTATGTAAGGATCCTCCTTGATATAAACTCCAGTCATCGGCGCCAATAGATGCAGCATATCCGCGCTGTTGTTTTCAACAGCAATCTTCAGGGATCGCCCTACATCAGTAGGATCGCACTTTTCTTCCAGCAATTTCGTCATTTCCAAGTCACCACGAGACGCCGCAACCGCCATTCCAGCCTTAGAGCAGAATCAGTAACCCTCCAAACCTTTTTTTGTTGCCCTTAGCAAGCAGCAACGTCACAAGTTCTTGTCGCCACATTTCGCTTGTTGAAATGCACTCCCAAACATTTCAGAGGGATATCCTCCCACTAGAACATTGACCATGTCGGCATTTTCCCGTTTGTCTGCCGAGCAGCAGACCGAACCAATACAGTAGGATTACCACTGGGGATGTGCCTGCCTTGTTGACCGTATCGTAGCAAATAATATCTGTTTTACAATATCCTAGCGGTAGTTTGACCACATCGCAATGATCGTTTTCGACTCCATCTTCCAGAGCTTGCGCAATCAAAGTGCTGTTAAATCTCTCGCGTGTTCAGTAGCATCTCCACAACAAGGCTCACAACGTTGGTCGGGCCCTACTCCGCCCGGTGTATAGTGCTGAAGTATACACCATTCCTCCCTCGCCAGCCACTGACACAACGGGGGAAATGGAGGGGGAAATGGAGGGCGATCGCTCAGGAGCAACAGAGGATTTACGTATCAGGTCGGCTGTACCACCACCGTCCCCAGCATCTTCTCCAAGCGAGAAAGAGTACGACGAACACATCGTGCGTTTAGCTTCCAGCAGCGATGAAGAGTGGGTAGAAACGGCTTCTGAAGCGTCTAGCGCTACAAACCGGTCTAAGCACATTCGATCCGAAGAATCTTCTCTTCCCCGGAGCTCGGCGGCTGAATCAAGCGACGACTCAGAGGGTATTCTTGCTGCACCACCACGTAGGACGCAATTCGAGTCGTGGAGCGACCTAGAGGACTACCTGAAGCTGTACGAGTCCGAGACATACCAGGTATTAGCTTGCCCTGAAGTGAATTCGCTGCTACGGATTATAACCTTCGG